GCAGGAATTTTTGCATATACAGAAAAACATATTTTAAAGTTTATAAGGAGAGCTAAAAGGAACTAGAATAATGAAAGCAATTTTGGAAAAAAAAAGAATAAAGTTGGAGGATTCGTGGCACCCAATTTTAATATTTACTATAAAGCTACAGTGATGAAGACAGTGTGGTATTAACAAAGGGATAGATACATATACCAGTGGAACAAAATAGAATCCAGAAATAGATGTACACAGACATGGCCAATTATTCCTTCAACACAGGTGCAAAAACAATTCGATGGACAAAGGATAGTCTTTTTAACAAATAATGTTAGAACATTTGGTCATTCTTTTGGTATGCAAAAGAATGAATTTCAACCTAAACTTCATGCCTTATACAAAAATTAACTCAAAATGGATCATAGGTCAAAACGTAAAATGTAAAGCTATTAAAATATTAAAAGACAGGAGAAAATCTTTATGACTTTGAGTTAAGCAAACAGTTTGTAGATATGATATTAAAAACATAATTCTTTAAAAATTGGTAAATTGAACTTAATGAAAATTTTAAACTTTTGCTCTATGGAAGGTATTTTTAAGAGAATGAAAAGATAAGCTATAGACTGAAAGAAAATGTTCGCAAATTACATATCCAACAAAGGACTTGTATCCAGAATATATAAAAACAAATGCTCAATATTCAATAATAAAAAGAATAAACCAAACCCAAGGAAAATAGAGGAAGGAAATAATAAAGATTAGAGTGGAAATTAATGAAATAGAGCATAGAAAAACAATATGCAAAATAAAAAATAAGGTTTTTTTCTTTAAAGATTAACAGAATTGACAACCTTTAGCTAGACCGACCAGGAAAAAAAAATGAAGACTGAAGAAAAAAGGCTCAAATTACTAAAATCAGAAATGAAAGAGGGTAATACCACTACTGGCCTTACAGAAATTTTTTTAAAGGATTATAAGGGAATATTGTAAACAACTATGTACCAACAAATTAGATAACTTCAATGAAATGGACAAATTCCTAGAATGATGTAAACTACTGAAATTGACACAGGAAGTATCAGAAAATTTGAACAGATTTTGAATAGATCAATTACAAGTTAAGAGATCAAATTAGTAATCAAAAAACTGCCCACAAAGAAAAATCCAGGCCCATATTGTTTCACTAGTGAATTCTACCAAACATTTAAGGAAGAATAAATACCAGTTCTTCACAAACTCTTCCCCAAAATAGAAGAGGTGATAATATTTTCCAACTTATTCTAAGAAACTGGTATTACCTTGATACCAAAATCAGACAAAGACAGCACAAGAAAACTACAAACCAATATTCCTTATGAATATAGATGCAAATTTTCTTAACAAAATGGACTAAATCCATCAACATACAAAAAGTATTATACACCATGACCAAGTGGGATTTACCCCAGGAATATAAGGTTGGTTTAAAATCCAAAAATTGATTAATATAATACATCATATCAACAGAATAAATGATAAAACCATATGATTATCTTGATGCATAAAAAGCATTTGACAAAATTCAACACCCCTTCATGATAAAAACACCCAACAAACTAGGAATAGAAGGGAACTTTCTCGACCTAATTAAGGCATCTACAAAAAATGCACAGCTAACATCATACCTAATGGTGAAAGACAGAATGATGCCACCCTAAGATCAGGAACAAAATAAGGATGTCCAGTCTTGTGGCTCTAACCAACATTTTATTGGAGATTCTAACCAGGGAAATTAGGCAACAAAGTGAAATGAAAGGCATCTAGATTAGAAATGAAGAAGTAAAACTCATATCTCTGTTTACAGATGACATAACCTTGTATAGAATACCCTAAGGAACCAACCACAAAAAACTATTAGAACTAATAAATGAGTCAACAAGTGTGCAGGTTAACATACAAAAATCGTATTTCTATACACTTGTAATGAACAATCCAAAAATAAAATTAAGACAGCAATTCCATTTACAATAACATCAAAAAGGATAAAATACTTAGGAATACATTTAACAAAATAAGTACAAAACTTATTCCTTAGAAACTACAAAACATTGTTGCAAGAAATTTTAAAAGACCCAAATAAACAGGACATCCCATGTTCATCAATCAGAAGACTTAATATTTTTAGGATGGGAATGCTCAAATTAATCTACAGATTCAATACAATCCACATCAATTTTCTGACTTCTTTGTAGAAATTGACAAGTTAATCCTAAAATTTATATGGAAATTCAAAGGACACTAAATAGCCAAAACAATCTAGAAAAAGACGAACAACACTGAAGGACTCACACTTTGCCATTTCAAAACTTAGTACGAAACTACAGTAATCAAGACAGTGTCGTACTGGCATAAAGATAGACATATATCAACAGAATAGAACTGAGAGTCCAAAGTAAGTCCTCACATTTCTGGTTAATTGAGTTTTGACAAGGGTGCCAAGATAATTCAATGGGGGAAAGAACAGTCTTTTCAACAAATGGTTCTGGGACAGTTAGATATCCACATGCAAAAGAAAGAATTAGGACCATTACCTCACACATATACAAAAATTAACTCAAAATGGAGCAAAGACTCAATTTAAGACTTAAAACTATAAAACTTTATTTTGAAGAAAATAGAGGTGTAAATCTTCGTGATCTTAGTTTAGGCACTATTTCTTAAATATAAAACACAAGCAACAAGGAAAAAACAGATGTATTGTTCCTTATCAAAATTGAAAACTTGTGCTGCAAAAGACACCGCCAAGAGTGGTTAAGAATCTGCCTGCCAGTGCAGGGGACACGGGTTCGAGCCCTGGTCCAGGAAGATCCCACATGCCGCGGAGCAACTAAGCCCGTGCGCCACAACTAGTGAGCCTGTGTGCTGCAACTACTGAAGCCGAGAGCCTAGAGTCCGTGCTCCACAACAAGAGAAGCCACCACAATGAGAAGCCCGCGCACCGCAATGAAGAGTAGCCCCAGCTCGCCGCAACCAGAGAAAGCCTGCGCACAGCAACGAAGACCAAGTGCAGCCAAAAATTAATTAATTAATTAATTAAATTTTTTTTTAATTTTTAAAAATTGAAAAAAAAAAGACACCACCAAGAAAGTGAAAATATAACCCTAGAATGGGAGAAAATACTTGTAAATCATCTAGCTGATATGGGGCTCTATATGGGATATATAAAGAATTTTTACAACTCAGACAAATAACCCAATTTTAAAATGGGCAAAGGACTCAGCTTTGAGCAGGCTCTGGCCTCTGGGCCCCACGGAGGGGAAAGGCTGGCCTATACATACCCAGGCTCTGAGGGCCCTGCAGAGCTGGTGCCCAGGCAGGGTGAGCTCTGGAGGAGAAGGCTTCCACAGTCCCCAACAGTCTCCTCATGGTGCCCCAACCGGTGCCAAACACCTGCCACCCACAGAGAGAAGTCCCAGCAGCTAGGAAGTCCAGAAGGGGTCGGGCTCTGGGACCCTGCCCTTTGCCCTCGGGCCTGGTTTCTTCACGGGCTGGGCTTGCGTGCGCCCCCTACCCCACC